CTGTATTCTATATTTTGCAAATGTACTAACAACCAAAAAAAGAGCATCGGGTTGAATTAATTACCTGACCAATAATATAAAATTATAGTATGAACTGAACTAGTTTAAATTATTAGATTAGGAATAAAAATATAAAAATTCTATATTAGAAAATGAATAAGAATAATCTTTTCATTTTAGTATCAATTCTAATAAATAATAAAACGCAATATTACACAACACTTTTAATTAAAATTTTTAACTTAACTTTATCCTTTTTCTCTGTTTGGTCACTATAATTTACTTTATCATAAAAGTAATTAGAAAAGTAATTGCTAAATCCATTTTCCATGTAACTGTAATTAAATTAATATAATTCCTTTTTTAAAGAATATACTTTGTAATTGTAATTATTTCCTTTTTTTAAAAAAGTAATTTGTAATTGTAACTATTTTTAAATTACAAGTAATTACCCAGCTCTGATTACTACATAACCTCAAATATGACGAAAAACAATGTTTTTGTACTTTTAGGTTAGGATATCTCAAAAACCTGACGTGATAGAGCAATTCTGCTGCCAGATTCGAATTCAGCGCACCTAAATCCTTCGGAAATATATATTCAAGTCTATGCTCCCAAAATAAGTTATATTTTGTTGGTCTGTGTTATTAATAAAAAGTTGTTGTATACTACTTTGGACATATAACACTTTTAAAAAATATAAAACTCTGTAAAATTGCTGTCGGAAGCAGTAAATCTCTCAATTAAATAATAAAGTGATGTGGAAATTTAATACAGTGCTTATATAATCACAAATAATGTATCACATAGTGGTTACTGGTTATACAGGGTGATTCAGTCATAATGTCATTAATTTTAAGGGAAGATAGGGAAACATGAGTAGAATACGGATACGCGATTAAAATAATTTTTTCTACGTTCATGCAATAAACACAACTTTATTGAACTATATTTACTAGAAAAAGTGGATCTTTATTGCACTAGTGCAATAAATATTTATTGCACTCATCTGTCATTATCGTACAGCGGTTTGTGATCAAGACAAACATAAATATTCAAATGAGCGAAATATTTAGTCCTTTTTCTGTGAGATTGTAATACGTTTCAAAGAATTGCGGATTTTATTTTATTATCAATCATATTTATTATGTACTGGATTACGAAATTACTAGAAAATGCATTTTTTTCTAAAATGCCATATGATTACAATTTATAAACACAAACGTAAATGCCTCAAACATACGCGATCACGACTACTATGATTTGGATAATGCAACTCTGCAGTTCTAGAAATGTCAGTCAAAAATTAATTTTGACATTTAAACAAAGTTTAAAAATGAGTGATATTATTGGGAAAATAGATGATAGTGATGAAGAAGAATTTGTTGGGACCCCACCAGAAGTTAGTGAAATAGCAAATACAGCGTCATTAAACCTATTACCTAGCAAATCAAGAAAACTATATGAAAAAAGTTATAATCGTTTTAAAGAGTGGTGCTTTTTTTATTTTTCTACACCTAAATAAAACATTTTTTTTCATGAACGTAGAAAAAATATTGTATGCAACTCGTGCAAAAAGTGTTTATTGCACTCGACGTGTTGTCAAACTCGGCCTAAAGCCCTCATTGGACAAATTCACGTCGCGTGCAATAAACACTTACTTTTTGCACTTGTTGCATAAATAACTATTAAAATACATATTAGCGCTAAAAAGAAAATTCAAATCATTATTTAAACTCCTTTTCGGACCGCTCCTAACCACTGGGCACTGACCTACAAAGATTTATCGTGATTGACCTACCTATTCGGTCACTAATCTAGCTTTTTCTGCGTTTTTAATAGTGAACGACAAAAACAGACCTTTTTACCTAGACAGGAGAGTGAATAAGATATTTATTTAGGTATATATTAAATATTAACAAGTTTTTTTTCGGTTTTTGTCTTTATTAGGCCTTCTGAATACGTGATTAAAATTAATGACAGTATGACTGAATTACCCTGTATATTCATGTCTACTATTTGTTTGTAGTTTAGTTATGTAATAGATTATCAGTATCAGTATCAAATTTTGTGTTCCAAAAATTGAATTTACGAAATGGGATTTAAAACCATAAAATTCACTTTTTTGATAGTCGATAAATAATAAGAGCGCAGATACTTTGCCCAATGGTGAATACAAACCGTAAAAAAATAAAAATTCTTGTTTTGATACTCTAATAAAGGACACCCAAGGTAATTTAATAAAGGGCCTACTTCATACTTCATTAAATTGATTAGAATCAATAGATAATAAACATCAATGGCACTTATGTTATTATATTATGAAAACATTTTTATATTTTTTGGTGATAACAAGAAATGTCTAAACGATAAAAAAATTCCATTTTGTAAAGTTGTATAACATTAGAACTTACCATTGCTGTGAGCACCAAAACACTTTGATATTACTTTCTAATTTAACCACAAATTTCTTATTTTTTTTTTTCTGCAATGATCTTTCAAACAAGATTTTTTTATTTTTTTTATACTGTAGCTTTTAATATTGAAATATATAATTTAGGGTGGCTAAAAAAAAAACGAATATTTTTTTCGTGTCTTGTGAAATTATGTTAGTTTATCATGTTTTAAGAGCCCCCTCTAAAAATCAGCTCAAAAAAAATTTTTCTGAGGTCGCTCAAGATTGTTAAAAATTTCCAAAATCGTCAAAATTTGTTTTTTTTTTAATTTTTTTCTAGTTATTTTACCATTTTTTAGGTTGAAAAAAATCTCGATTCTAAAAATTTCAAATCGATATTTTAATTTCTAAAGGTCACTCATAATTATTTTAACTTTCAAAGTAGTATAGCTACCTGTTTTCGAGCGACCTCTAAAAATAAATATCAACGAACTAATAATTTGATGAACAAAATAATAGAAATAAATAAATAAATAATTTTTTTTCAACCTAGAAAATGATAAAATAACGAGAAAAAAAATTTAAAAAAAATCAATTTTTGACGATTTTGGAAATTTTTAAAAACCTTAAGCGACCTCTAAAAAATTTTTTTTTGACCTGATCTATTGAGGGGGTTCTTAAAACATGATAAACTAACATATTTTTACAAGAGAC